CATCAATGGGTACAATTTAATTGTTCCCTTTGAGAAAACAGCTTTGGATTATTTCTTGTAAATATCTGAATGGACCAGCCTGTAACTCTATGATTCTGTTTGGGAAACGACACTAAAAGGTAACCTGAACCTAGAAGAGAAAATGTTAAGCGGCTTTTTAGAGAAGAGATTTTCCAGTTTTCCTTTGACCCAACCTTTGGTTTGCTGTTCTCTTTCCAAAGCCTGTAATCTGATGTCCGGCACATATTCGCGTGTAATGCCAATGACATCTTATAGCACATCACTTCAAACCTCTGACCATGACAAACTCACTGTCTTCCATAACATCTTACTACAGAAGCAAGCAGTGACTTTTAAGAATTTATTTCTTAACCTAAAAATTAAAAATTGCTTTGAGAAGTAAGCTCTTAAGGAAGATTAACAGTAAAGCATATATTTAATGACCTTCCACTTGGGGACTGATGGGCTAGTATTTCAGCCTGGATCCCAGAGCCCTTGGTGGGTAACACCAATTAGGAAGCGCAAGCAAAAACCCATCTGCCTTCTGACTTTGGAAGTGCGAAGATGAATATAATAAATGTAACACATTCTAGTGTCTCTGTAACTCCCACCGTATATGGTTTTCACTTTTTTTTTTGTTCTTGCTAGAAGAAAAGGAAAATTAAAACCCAAAACTTTCCCAGGTTCTTCATTTTCTGGCCTACCATTTTGTCCAGAACATAATGGGTAAAGCATCATTGGGCTGTTACAATGTAACCAGCTCAACTCACATTTGAAGATCCAAGGCAGTGGATACTACAGCTATTTGTCTTGCCATGAGAACATCTTATTTCTAATGTCACCTAGAGGGACAGTTGCCTTATAATAGCAATCGAAAGCATTAAACTGGCACTTAGCATTTGTTAGGTGGTTTGGGTTCTTTTAAAAAAATGGCATGAATCAATGAAAAATCTTTGCACCAAGTTTTAAAATTCAGGTTGCTAGGTATTGTATAGAGCCTAGATATTAAAATATATCCAAACACCAGCATTTTGCTAAACTTAAGGTTATCGGCTAACTCCACATTGGGGCCAATTGGGAAGGGGCAAATGAATCCGCCGGTGGTGGCCACGATGGTTTGGAATCAAGTCTGTATAACTACATCAGTGTAGCTGGACCAATGCGAGGAAGCACTGTTGTCTGAAGCTCTGGAGAAGAAATGATCAACCCCGACTTTGACTTTGTGCTTTTCGAACACAGCTGAGGAAATAAGACTGACCATTTTTCTCCCTTGGTCTCAAGAAGCACTTAGCATCCACACTGAGGTGTTTCAGGCCAATTGCTTTACTGCATTATCTACCATCCCTCAGCAGGGGTCCAGACTCCCCCCCCCCCCCTTTCCAGAGTGCCCTGGGTAATCAATCAGATGGCAAATATGCCCGTCTCTAGGGTCTCCAACTGCACGGTGCTTGAGTTTGGATGGGAAAGGAAGAGGAAATAAGAAAGGCTAACAGATGAGAAACTGTTTTCCCAGCCTGCAGGCAGCTCACAATCAGAGCTGAGCCCCGGAGCAGCTCCATCTTGCTTCACATAATATAGCCTGCAGGCACCAGCAACAATAGCAGTGGCATCGGAGTGACCTCTGGAGGAGGCCCAGCTGGGATCTGCCAGCTGAAGCAGCAGCGAGTCATGCCAAGGAAACCGAGCCTACCTCCCTGTTGCTAAGTCATCTCAGACTGTCTGAAAAGCTGGGAAGCAGGATTTTTACTTATCCTTGAAAGGCAGGGCCATGTGAGCTGCATCGGAGACCCCAGGACCCAGGAGAGCATTCTCCAGAGGCTGAGCAACATCTGTTACTACCCTGGAGGAAACCGTAGGGCCCACACACTTGGTTGATTCTTAATGAGATCGATATAACCATTTCAGGGATCCATGCAAAAAACCTGACCAAATTAGGGAATTGAAAACCAGAAAAGCATGGTGATTGCAAAAGTGAACACTGGGGTTGGTGGGTGGGGTGGCTTCTGGGATGATAGTGATGGCTGTTTCTCGTCTGGACAGCACAGGTGTGCCCAATCCGTGAAAATTCAGTGAACTGCTAGCCTATGCTTTGTGCTTTTCCTCTCTCACTGATACTTTAAATTGAAACTTCTTTTTTTTTTAATGTTAGGAAGACAAATCTGGATTTTTAGCACTAAATGCTAGCCGAGCAAAGCGAAGTAAAGCTAGGAACGAGCATCACAAAATTCCTTGGCAGCATATTTTCTCCTCCGACAGAAAGAGGCTTGAATAAACCACAGAGCAGAACACCTAAAGGATGATCAGCCCGGTAACAAAGCAGGAAGATAATTGTAGTGGGAAGGTGATGGCTGAGACGCCCCCTGCACGGAGAGCTGCCCACAAGTGGATGGCAGTACAAAGACTGGGTCTGAAAACTGCTGGCTGAATCCTTCCCTGACGTTAGCCTGCCGTTAGCCTGCCGCACTGCCATCTGACCTGGTCAAGGAAGGAGTGACGCTGCGGTACCGGTCCTCCTGTCACCGCTCCGCAACGTGACCTTGAGTCTGTCCCTTGCCCTTCCTGCCTCTCTGGGTCCCTAACCTCTAAAATCTAAAAATGGGCGTAATGATTCCTCTCCCGGCACCACAAAGGGTGATGCTGAAAATTCTGGGGGTGAGAAGGCACTTCTTAATGTGTTATTTCCCAGCAATGCTACATAAAGAAAATGATTTAAAAACACCCAGCCATTAATTCCCACAATAGCCACACCCAAAGTCAGTACGTGTGAGTTTTTCCAAGGAGAAAAATGTGCAAATAAACTAAGTTTGAGAAGCAGATCATAGACTTATAGTCTGAAAACGAAGGAATACTGAGACATTCGGATAAATCATTCCACTTCTGAAATCTCTTATAAATGATTTTTTTCCGCATGAAAAATCATGACTGGCTTTCTGTTCACTTTTGTTTGTTTGTTTGTTTTGTTTTGTTTTTCTTTTTCTTTTTAGCTGAAAGGGAAAAATCCGTGCTTTAAAGTTAAACAAAAGAACCGGGTCTGCAACCCCAGTCCCCACCCTGCAGCCTTTTGTTCTGGGGACAAGTGGCTATTTCCAAATGCAGAAGCAGGTGACAAGCTTTTGTTTATTTATTTATTCATCTATACCAAAATCGTTTCGTCCTTCTTTTATTGGAGTGTGTGGGAGCGGGAAAGGAGGGCTGAGTGAACGCCCTTTGTCCGCCTCGGGCTGCCGTAGAGACCGCAGTGCGGACTGCACCACGCCCACCAGCCCGTGTCTCCTGGCAGAAACGTTTCAGCACCACCCCGAGAGAATAGAGCGCTCAGGCTGGCGCTGTACCGGGACCCGGCGACCTCTGCCAGGGATGAAGTGAAGGGAAGGATGCGGAGTGGGGGCGAAATAAGGCAGAGGCCAGAGCTGCCCACCGGGGAAAGGGGGGGGGGCTGGGAGAGCAACAAAGCCGCTCACAGCCAAAGGTGGGCGCAAGGCCCCCGACCTCGCGAAGCTCGGGCAGAGCGAGCTCCGGGCCAGCCGGGGGCGCCGCAGTGCGGGGGCAGGTGCGACTGCCCGGTGCGGGCACTGCGGCAGGCCGGGTGGGGCTGAAGGGCGGGCCAATGGTTGCTCGCTCGAGACTGCGCCCTCCTGGACCCTCCCAGCCCCGCCCAGGGTTCCCCGGGAACCGCTATTCGGCCTCTGAAGAGCCCGCTCCTGGTGTGTGCAGCAGCCCAGGAGCTGGCCCTACCCTGCCACCCCCTCCTCCCATTCAAGCTATGGTTCCTGAAGCTGAGACTTTTCAAGGAAGCCCACCCCACAACCTGGGGTCCCATTGTCCTTTCTGAAAGCTGAAGCCAGGACCTCAGGGGCAGGAGCGCAGCCAGGCTTCGTCTAGGAAGAGCGCAGACGGGTTAGGTTCCACGCCTGTGTCCTCGCGGGGAGGGGGGGACCGGGCGTGGCACTAGGACTAGCCTAGTCATCCCAGGAAAGAAAGGATCGGGAAGTTTTAAGCCAGAAAGGGCATTCTCCATTCTCAGAATGTGGTGTGTGTGTGTGTGTGTGTGTGTGTGTGTGTGTGTGTCAGTGTGTCAGGGGCGGGTGGCACTAGGTAGCTATGATGAGGACGATTCCCATGCGGGCCTTGGCACATGGTATTTCGACCCCAGGTTTTCGGGTAAGGGGAAGAGGGTCCCAGCCTTTGGCTAGGGCGTGGGGGGGGGGCGAAAAGAGAGGTTCTGAAAAACAAGGTCCACCCACCCTTTCTCCGCCTGTGGTCGCGGTTTTATTATGGCCACCGCTCCTCTGACACCTGCATTTCACTGAGCAAGATAGGAGGTAGCCAAGTCGAAGGTGGCCGCAGACCCAGCCAGGTGACCCATTCCTCGGGGCTATTAAAGATTGTCTCTATGGGTCTCAAATAGAATAATTTGGAAATTAGCTCAGAAAAAGGGTCCAGATGGAGTATAGGAGGTGGCCTGGAGAGGCGTGGGTGCGGGGCGCGCGGGAGAACAAGGTGGCCGTCGTGCCCTGGGTGGGGTCGTTCTGGCGCATCTCCCTACGCACGTCCCTGGGGGGCCGCGGGACTGCTTACCCAGCTCGATGTTGCCGATGGCACGCCTCAGGTGCTCTTCGGTCACCGTCTCGCCGACCACCACCAGCAAGTAGAACTTGCTGTCTAGGAAGCGGTGCGACAGGCTGGGCGAGGTGGACGCCGCCGGGTTGGCGATGCTGCCCGATGGCTCCGGCTCGGTGGCTTCCACCACCACGGTCGCCATCGTGCTGGCTCTGCTAAAGCCTGGGCGAAGTGTTCCTCTCCCGCCGCTCCTCTGCTCTGCGGCAGGAGAAAAGATTATCTCCGAAGGTGCTGTCTCCGCTCCGCCCCCTGCGTCCCCCCTCCTCCCGGCGCGCGTCGCCTCCCCTCTCCGCCCTCTCCAGGCGCGGAAGAGAGGAGCGGGGAGTGAGAGGCCGGGGAGGCGGTGCCGTTTATATGGAGACTAGGCTAGGAGCCTGGGAGGAGGAGGAGGAGGAAAGGACCACCCGGCACATCCTCGTGGTGGCTGCCTCCACTCCTCCAGCCCTTGGCCCAGGGCTGATGTCATCCGCAGCAAATCATTTCGCCGGCGGCCCGGAAGCTGGAGGGACGAGGTGTGTGGACAATGGTCTGGGCAGGGCCAGGAGCCAGGCTCCAGGGAACCCAAAGAACTCTGCTGTAGCCCTGAGGGGTATCCGCACCACCGCCGTTACAGACGTACACCTTCCTGCCCCAAACCGTCAACCTTCCTATACCGGAGAGTGGGGTTGACTTCCTGTTTTAGAATGGGAGTATGTCCTGAGTCCCGAGTGCACATCAGGCCTCTGCCTGTGTCCCACCCACCATGGAAGTCGGGATTTGAGTAGCTGCAACAGTCACAGTGGGCGCTGGGGGTACCCCATTAAAGAAGACTGGAACCTGTCTTTTTGACCTTGTAGATTTAGAAAGTCGTATTTGTATTTTTTTTAAAAAAAAAAAAACAGGAATATTTACCCCCTTCACTTAAAGGATACTTTGCAAGCCCTAAACCTAATTTGTTCAGACTTTGGAGTCTGATCTCGAAAGACTAATGCTGAAAAAGAACTGGCCTTTGGTGCTCATGGGAAATGAATGAGGGGGAGGCGGACCTATTATGTTAGATACAGATTTCTTTTTTTAATATGCTGAACAGATAGCATCAGGCATAACAAAGAATAGAGAAGATACTGTCTCTGCCCAGCAGGGTTACAGTGACTATAATGTGTTTTTCAGTTCCTTGGGGATACACAGGCAGAATTATTTTGTGTGACAATGATGTCTTTTAAGATACACATAGCTTTGGGAGTTTTTATTGCCTTTTTCTATATTTAGAAGAACTCATAATAATGTTTCTAAAGGCCACCATATACATCCATCTCTCACAAATCTAATGAATAGGTTTCTGTCTTAGGACAGGAGGGGAGGGCAGACACTGCATCATAAAAAGAGTATTAGGGAAGCAAGTTAGATGGAAGTAGGAGTAGTCAATACCCTTAATACTGGAGTGTCTACTAGTTTTAAAGTGCCAGCTGGAAGTGCTGAAGCTCAGCTGATAGAATGCATGCCCATGCAAGCGTCATGACCACTGGGCAGTTTAGTCCCAGCACTCAGGCTGTGTCGGCAAGGAGAGTCAGAAATTCAAGGTTATCATCAGCTACTGATGAGTTCAAGATCAGTCTGGGATGTATAAAACCCTGTCTAAAAGCAAAACAATAAAACACCTACTGTAAGATTTTTCAAAATACCCCAGTGTCTTTGGTGTTCTCTGTCATGACTTACTAGTTAGATGCCTTTTGCCCTGTTTCTTTCTTGAAGCCTGGATGGGCTATCTGGTGGGCAACCAAAGACTATGCTAGTCTGGTCAATGGAGACAAAAAAGAATGTCTGACGTAGGACATTAGGGATCTGCAACAAGCTTGCTGCAGAGATTTGGCCACCAGTGAACAGAAACCGTACATTTAAGTGGGAAGCCAATGGACATTTGGTGAAGACAAACAGTTACTCTTAAGTAAGGGCAGTGGGGTGGTCCATGGTGAGGGTGAGGAGGTAAAGGACATCTTCCCAGAGGTCAGCCATAGGAATGGCTTCATCTGCTGAGTTTTCTCCATTTCTCTGATCCATATTACTCCTGTGTGCATAAAAGTGTTTATGTTATCGCAAAGTCCTGTGAGAAACTGTTTGGTGATAGGAAGATTTATTTCTGTTCACAGGTTCCTAAGTTTCTGGCCGTGGTCTGTTAACTTCCATTTCTTTGGGCCTGAGGTAAGGCAGAACATTGGGGAGCAGGGGTTGGGGAGCGTGTAATGGAAGGGGTGCTCACCTCCCTGCAGCCAGGAAGCAGAGACACTGCTTCTCCTCCTTTTTCCATCTGTGCCCAGCCTAAGGGGTGGTGCCACCCATCTCATATCCTATTAGCTAACTCTCTCTGGAAACATCCGACAGGCACACATAAAGGTGTGCTTGACTAAGAGCCTAGGTGTCTCTCCACCCAATCAAATTAATAATCAAGTTAATATCAGTGCTCTTTTACCTCCTTGATTTCACCTAAATTTATTGGGGGTTTATTATTGTTTCTGTGCACATGGAAACACTAATATCACAAATACTTAAGGAGGTAACCCTCAAAATATACAGAATGAAAATAAGATACTAATTAACTTTTTGCTATACACTGTTACTGTTTGCTTAAGATTGAGCCTGAGGTATATACTATTTCAGACAAAAACAGAGCAGTGTTGAAACATACTAACACATGAGAATTGTTCCATATGTTGCAATGAGGAGTACAACAGGAGGTCAATAAGATGACCCCGTGGGTCAATGATTTGCTGCCAAGCCTGGGACCCTAGTAAGTGAGTCCCCAGGACTTACACAATGGAAGGAGAGAACAGACTACCATAAATGTCCTCTGGCCTCCACACACATTAATTAATAATTAATTAATTTTTTTAAAAAAAGTGCAACCACCATGGTGGTCTGTACAAAAAAGCATGACCATGATCCACTCCAGTCTTCACCTGCGCTTTCCAAACCAGAGACATGATGGCAGAACACAGGCTGGCATTGGGTACAAACTGCCAGTTTCTACCTCTGTGACTTCAGGCAAGTAACTTGGCTCCTTTTTTACGTTCAGCCCCTTTGTTGGGAAAGTGGGAAGAATGGGAACTTTGTGACTGCGTGAGGAAAGAGTAAGTGATAGAGACTTCAGAAGTTCTTAACCCAGTGGATGGAGCACAGTAAGCAGCCAAGGTCTGGCTGATTGAACGCCATCCCCACCCCCATTTTCTTAGGCAATGGAGTGAAAGTAGCTTTACAAAGTGTTCAGGTGACTCCCCCACCAATACTTCTGGGAGAAAATAAATAAAAACCAACATATCCAGCCACTCTTCTAGCCGAGAAGAGTCCCCACCCCCAAGAAAAAGGACGCAGTTCTAAAGGCAAAGAAAGCTAACCTCTAAGGGAGCTGCTGCCTGTATCACTAGCTACTTGGTGACCTCACCCAAGTGTCCAAAAAGCACTGCACACTGGGCATGCTCCACACACAAATCATCTTTACCCTCCAGACCTGAGCAATCATGTCTCCTGTTCCACTGAATAGCAGCACCATCCATCCCACTGTGTAAGCCTGAGGCCTCACAGACATCTTGGTCTCTTCCCTGAACCTTTCTTAGCTGCATGTTCAGCCAGCCAGCCTTGCATGGAGCCTGGTCAGTTTCACCTTCACCTTCTCGATGCTTCTTCCTCTGCCATCCACTTCTCTCCGTTATCACAGCCCTAGCCCTCACCATTATGAGAGGTACTATATATAGGTTTAAAAAAAGTTCTGGAATAAAAGTTCCCCTCGTCCAGACATGTTGTCGATAAACCCATGGCTCAGAGTATAGACTCTGCTACTTACTCCCTCATGTCATAATTTATTAGCTGTGTGACCTTGGGCAAGGTGCTCAGGCACTCTGTCCTGATTTCTTCTTGTATGTAGTGGCAATAGCCACCAGCTTCTTGGCAGGGTGCTAATAGAGTTGTTGTTCATTTGTTGCCATGCTGGAGGTGACACCCAGAGTTGTGTATGTGGTGGGCAGTCGCTCTCACCAGTTTAGGCCCCACCCCCACCCAAGGGGATAGTTTAAACAAGTGCTTAGCAGTGTCTTGTATGTATGTAGTAAGCACTCGGTATAGGTTAATTGATGATTTATTCTTATTTACCATTCAGTATAGACAATTTCAAACATGTATGAATTAGACAAGATCATGCAATATTATAATTATTGGGAATGATGTATTTAATAGTTTGGTTGTTTAAGTCAAGGTCAGAAGAAGTGTATTTAAACTAACCAGTTGTTTGTTTGTTGTTTTGAGACAGGGTCTCTCTCGTAGCCCTGGCTGTCCTAGAACTCACTATGTAGACTAGGATGGCCTTGAGCTCACAACGATCCACCTGCCTCTACCTCTAGAGTGCTAGGATTAAAGGCAGGCGTTACCACCAGACCCTGTTCCAAGCATTAATCTTTACTCTGTGTGCCCTGACTCTTCTTGCTTTCCTTGTAATGTTTTTGTTGAAACACTTGTCATCAAGAGTTTCACAAAGCCTGACTTTTGCTGGGTGCGTGACTGTTTTGTCACTGACTACCTCTCTGTCTCCTGCTGCATCTTAATAGGGAGATCTGAGAGCTTGATCAGAGGGCTGGGGGGTGCTACCCTACCATGAACGAGGCTCTGGATTGGATCCCTGCAATCCTAGCTCTTGAGAGGTAGAAGAAAGAGACTCAGAAGGCCAAGGTCATCCTCAGCTATGCAGCAAGTCAGAGGCCAGCCTGACCTTGTCTCTAAGTCATTTAGTTAATTAAAAGATTGGCCAGATTTGGGTTTTTGCAACTATACTTCATAGATGATAGTAGTTTCTTTGTATGATTTTTTTTGTTATGTCATTACCTAATCCATTATTTATTAAGAATTTGAAAATTCCAATATTTTATTATTTGACAGCAAGAAGGCATCAATTAGAAGAATTCTTGCCTTGTCAGTTGGCTAACCTGAGATACAGTTTGTACAGGAAGACAAAAGACAAACATGTGGCTCTTTATTTGCTCATTTTCAACATCCATTCATTTGTACCATTCTCCCCGAGTGACTGATCTTTTTCTCTCACTGAGATCTAACATGGATCTGTTATTCATGTTGATATTTTCATTTCCCTTCTTGGCCAGGAGTATGCAGAACACTTCCCACCTACCTCGTATCTATCCACAGAACCAGGATTTATCTGGTTCTCTAAGAAATCAATATTACTTAAGTAAAAAATAGCATTGAGAGACCATTATCTTGACTGAAGGTCGCAACCACGTTGGTCGTCGTTTCTAGATATTTTCAGTAAACACAAATGAAGGATTTTTTTCTCTCAGAATGAAATACACTATGGGTTGACAATGACAGTAGTAACTCAGGTCAAGGCCACCGGGGTTTTGCTTGTCCTTTGTCTTTGTTATACGTTATACACGTGGAATTCCAGTTCTCAAGGATAAAGCCAGGATTAGAGCAGAGAGTGGCTCATTTTCTCCACCTTACACTCCAGTAGCTATGTAATAAAACATACAACACTTTTGCCAACTGTATGGTTACTAAAAGACCATTTAACTCTTTTTACGATGACTTCTGTTCTTAGCTTGTATCACACTAAAGACTGAAACTCTCAGTCACCAGGCACTAGGGATGGTGGTTCCTTTGCGCTCTCCATCACTGTGAGCACAGCACTGTTGGGACAGCAGCAAGATAGCAATAGCAACAGGATTACCGAAAACAGCTTGCAATGCCTCTTTGCAATTTCTTTCTCCAATAGCTGTCTCCCCAAGGCATACAGCTTTATGCAGTCTAATTAATTAATTCCTTTTTATAGGATGATGCCATTAACTCAATGCATAGATTCATTGGTTTCATTTGTGGTATTTCTGAGTTGATTTTTAAATTTAATTTTGTCTTATAATTATGAACGTATGGTTTCAAGGTCAAATTTATAAGACTTCTTTTTTATCCAGATGACTTCAGTCTCTACTTATACTTCCTCCATCATGCTCCCTGACTTTCCTTAGAAGCACACCCCCATCTCCCACCCTCCACCCATTGCCCGAGCTCAGTCTCCAGCACCAAAAAGAAACAGTAGACACATGCTACCTAATAATATATCCCGGCAAGAACTCTATAATGATATAAATGTATAATCTTCATTCTTTTTTAATTGCTGCATGTTAACCCATTAAGTTTATCTATAACATATTGCTAGTGGACATTTGAGCTATTTCTAACTTGATTTATATTATAAAGAATACTTTTCTTAGTTACTTTTCTCCTTGCTGTGACGAAAGCAGCTTGAGGAAGGAAGGGCTTCACTTTGGCTCACTGCTTGAAGGTCTGGTCCCTCCCTCTGGAGAAGGTGTGGCAAACAAGAGCAGCCCAGCCATGGTGGCAAGAGCCTGAGCTAGCCCGCCCATGTGTCACAGTGAGGAAGGAGAGAAAAGGGATTGCTCAAACTCTGTTCAGCTTTTCTGTTTTCCTTCTTCTTCCATTGTGGGACCCCCACCAGTGAGATGGTGCTGTCCACATTCAAGATGGGTCTTTCCTGTTCTGCTAAAACTCCATGAAAGTGCCTGCGGAGTCACACCAAAGATGTCATCAAAGGGATTCAGAGTCCCGTCAAGCTAACAGTGAAGATTCGGCACCACAGTGGTTACATAGCATTGTTTTGTTCCTTGGTAACACCTGGGCCAACTGATGGGCTCCCACATGTTTGTCTGACCCTCAGCCGGTTTGTGACTCACACCCCAGGGAGAATGATCTTACCGGATTGGTCACTTTACCTCGGTGTCCCACTTGAAGTCTTGTATTGTCTTCAGGATAAAGACCAAAATACTACTGCTGCTGCTGCTGCTGCTGCTGCTATTTCTCCTTCCTCCTCCTCCTCTTCTTCTGGTTTTGTTCTTTATTTTTCTTCAGAGTCTCACTATGTGGTCCTGGCTATCATAGAACTCCTTACATCTACTAGGCTGGTTTCAAAGTCAGAGATCCACCTGTCTTTGCCTCCAGAGTGCTGGAATTAAAGGCTTGTGACACCATGCTCAGCATAAGACCAAACTTCTTAACATGGCCTACAAGCTCCCTAGAAAAGTCTAGCCCCAGCTTATTTCCCTTGGGCAATCCCTAACTCAACTGACTCTTCTCTCTCAGCCTCAGCCACAATAGCCCACCCCACGTTCAGCCTCTCCTTCCTCTCT